GTAGTAGCAGTAGGAGTAGGAGTAGGAGCAGGAGTAGGATTAGGAGTAGGAGTAGGAGTAGGAGTAGGAGTAGGAGTAGGAGTAGGAGTAGGAGTAGGAGTAGGAGTAGTAGTTTTGCTACTATCAATACTATTACCATTACCAGTACCATTACTACTCATATTATTGCTCGTACTGTGATTATATTATTTCACTGACTCACTGACTAATTAGTGCTATCACTATCACGATTACCATTACTGGAACTAGTACCATTTCTATTTCTATTGCTCTTACCGTTACTACTGTTCTTATTGTTATTACTTGTATGTTAAGTTGTATTTTATGTTCTCGTCGTAGTTGTTGTTATTGCACCTAAAAAACCCTAAACCCTAAACACTAAAGGCCTAAAAACCCTAAAGGCCCTAAAGGCCCCCAAAATCCTAAACCCTAAAGGCCCTAAAAACCCGAAAACTCTTATACTGTTCTTCCTGGGCCAGGGCCTGAGAGGCTCCGCTCCGGATCCACTCAGGCTGCTCGCAGCCAGCCGAGTTGCGAACGCCGCAAGCCATCGTCTGCGCCGAAAGCCCCGGCGGGCTTCGAGGCTCCAGAGAGATGGTTTCGTGTCGGGGTGTCCCTTTCGGGGCTTGTGAAATGGGCGTGGAGCTGATTGATCAGGGTGCGGATGCAGCATCAAGTATGTTTTTGGAGGGGTAGTTGCTCCAGGCACGGAGGAACGGGGCCTTGGTTGAATTGAGTTATTGCTGTTGAGAGATGGGGTTGACGCATCTAGAAGCTGGGTCTCGAGCTTGAAGTATTCAGAGGACCCTGACTTAGAGACTGCCAGTGAAAGCTTAGTTTGGACACTGCACGGACAGGCACTCCGGACCTGCCTTTGCTTCAGGGACAATGCTCGACGGTGGCAGGCGCTGCTAGACTTCGGTACCCTTGACCTTGCCGTGAAAGCGCAGGTTCTGGAGTTTCCGAATGCGTCCACTCTGCTTGCTGCCGTTCAAGTTCTCAGTTCTCACCCTACCTGCAGGTGCTCCAGTCACCGTCTGCAATGTGGCGGGTGAGCGACTGCTCCAAGTGCTTGGTCCCCAGATGCAGAAGCTGCGGTGACTTCTGGCAGCTGTCGGCGACCTTCCCCAAACCCCTCACAGTCTTTTCCCAGAACTGCGCATAGTGGTTTCGAAACAAGCGATGGTGACAGCTGCACCACCCGGTCTCCAAGCGACACGCTTTGTGAAATGTTGCGTCGAGGTCTCTGAGGGAGTGCCCCACAGCTGCTGAGCTGAAACGTCTCCTGCAGCAGCAGCCACTTGTGACGCACGAGAGAAGCTTTCGGCGTGCCTTCTCGGGCTTCACGCTTGAAAACGCCTCAATCGCGCTATCCACCAGTCTTCATAAAGCCTTGTCTTTCGGCAGGAGACACTCTTCGGACCTCGCTTGCAAGGATTATTGGTCCGGCAGACTCTTTTCGAACGTGCAGTAGCAGGAACAGCAGCATTGTAGGAGCAGTAGCAGCACGACGACGTTGACACCACGATTTCACCACTGCTGCGGTTGCAAGCTCATCCACATGTGTGAAGAGGGAAAGAAGGAGGGGCAGCTGGACAAAGATCACCGATGTCGCCGTAGCAACAGCAAGGTCAGTCGCAATAAACCCTCCGCATCCCCAAACCCTAGAATTCTGGCACTTAGTGCTAGTGACCTTTCATAATTATCGAGCCATGACCAGGCTCTCGCTTCCATCGCTTCGCTTGCGGCTTTTGGCGAACTGTTCACCCGAGCTCCTGGAGGACTGGGCCACGAATTACTAAACCCTAAATTGACGGTTCCGATGTAATGCGATGAAATCATAATAATCATAATAATAATAGTAATAATAATAATAACTATAATAATAATAGTAATAATAATAATATTACTGAGAATTAATTACAATATTATGAATAAAAGAATAATAGCTTGCGGGAGATTCCTTGGGGAGATTGATGCGCTCATGGCAGACGCTTGAGAAGTGCTTCTTTCACCGACGGAATGTTTAGTTTAGGGTTTAGGGCTTGGGCAGGGCAATGTGTTTGGAGACACGGATTATCTTCCACAAGGTGATCAGAGTCTGTGTGCCTGAGTGGTCGCCTTGCGATCGCTCCTTCAGCCCTTTGCTGAAGTTCGGTAGTAGGCTTAGAACAGACGTTGGCCATGGTTAAGAACATTTTCAGACAATCCCCTCGGAGGGCGGAAGAGTTTGGTGTCGCGACTGGCGACGGAGAAGAAAGATTCATGATCTTTTAACCCCTCAAATGCCAAGACGAAGCCTTGATGTTGAGCTTTTCCCGGGAGCACATACTGCCGACCCTGAAACGGGACACTTGATCCCAGCCCGCAGCCTCTAGCCTCGAACACTTAACCCTAAATCCTAGGTCCTAAACCCTAGTATAGGGGTTGGAACAGAACTTTTTGGGGTGCCTGTTTTAGTACCATTATAATTCCTATAAGGAAGCCTGAAGAATATGATATTGGTGCTTATTCAGGCCCCTTGAGAAGCTCCGAGGAGGATCTCGAGCTCGAATCGCTGCCGATGCCGAGGGAGCTCACGGCTGTGGCTTTGACTCTGATTCGTCTTGATAGAAACGACACACCTCAGCGAAGTTTTACGTGTTTTATCCACTCTGAAGCCGAGAATCCTACAATCCCGAATAGTCCAGGAGCCCCGCTGCAATCCTGCCGTACTTCGACGCCAGTCGTTAACGCATCTTGTGGTGGAGCAGCTGCATACAGCCTCTTGTCTCGCGCGATCTTGAGGTGGTGCTCAACTACAAGCCAGAGTTCACCGAAACTCGGCTGCAGAAAGGCAGCTCTGTCGGGAGAAAAGCTTGTGGGTGTGCCGCATCAATCCGAGAAGAGATCAGTATCCTCCGAGCTATGTGCTCAACGGCCCAGGTGGAAGTGTTGAATGCTGCAGAGGAGATGTCTTGCTCAGTGTAGGGGAAAGATGTTCCATCCGTGTGAGTCATGCAAGCTCCGCCTGGTTTCTGTCAGCCGGGCACTCGATTTTAGGGAGCCTCTGACTAATTGGGAATCCATTCTGTGAACACTCTGCAAGTTTAGCGGCATGTAAATCGGACGTTAATGAAAGCCACTTTCGCTCAAGCCTCAACACTAGACGCCCAAGATAGCATATGCAGCAGGTCAAACATTCTGCCATGTTCCTTCCCTTTCCCAAGTAGACTTAATGTACTGTTCAGCCCTCGTGAATCTAGGACGACATCAATCCTCGATTCTGCTCGAAACACACGTGCCGCCAGGACGGTGATGTGGGTCTCACGCAGAAGCTTCTCGAGGAATTTGCATGTTCTGATCCTTGTGATGCTTCCAAGGACACTAGGTCAATGCTATGACAGTCGGCCAATCCGATCTTGGCGGATCGTCTCTTGTTTGTCGCGCACATGGGGAAGCTCTAGGCAACGACACTCACAAGGAAACAACTAAAATAACAACAAGGCATCCCAGGCATTCCTGAGTAGCCTCGGAGTTGTTCCCAGAAGGTGTTACTGAAGATGCAAGCACTGCTTCAGGTCGTTGTTCCGAGGTATCCCTTTCGTGCCTACAACACATGACTTGCCAAGCCTTCGCAGAAGCTGGCGGACCCAAATGGCAGCGAAGGCGAAGGTTGGACTCCTTTGCACCGCGTGCCGCAGAGGAACGTTCCGCAAGTTTTCGACGGTGTTTCGGGTTAGGTTGGCGGTCTCCAATTTTCACCAACGTTAACACATTGTGCATGCGCATCTGTGCATGAACACATGGAAAATGCTAATGTGTGACAGGATCAGACACGCAGAAGGAAAGATGTATATGCATGTGCGTACATGCATGCATACATACAGACAGACATACATACAGACAGACAGACAGACAGACATATGCCCAAAGGTATATACCCAAATAGCTGCATGTAGAGATGTGCAGGCATTATGTCTGCATGTGTGCAACTTCTCACACGGTGCACACTCTAACTGCTCTAACTCAGGCGTAACCTGGCAAGCTTTCTGCCCCGGGCGGGCAGGTCGGACTGCCTCACGGTAGATCACACAAGATCCTCTTTGGCCGTCTCAAGCCTACTCTCCGGGTTGCATCAGCAGCGCAACAACAATCCCGAAGCGAACATCCAAGATGATCTCAAGCCTTCCGCGCCCCCCCTGTTGACGGGCGGTCACATTCGATAAAGCGACCAAGAGCCAACTCTGCCGGGGGGGTTCGGTATGCTCACCCACACCCAAGCTCAGGCACATCACCACTCTGAATGGGCACTTGGAGGTCGATACTCGGATGCACTGCGCAGCTGTGCAGGGCATGATCGTTGAGAAAGGATTGGAGGCAGCGACAAGCACAAGACTAAACGTAGCAGCAAGAGGACGGGCAACAGGATCGAGATCATGCTGACCGGCAGAAATAATCTGGAGCATGCCAGTAACAACGCGCTCTCAGACTCTCAGCCTCGCATCTTTCCGACATTGTGAGGGAAGCCTTTTGAGGCTCGCTGCTTGCTGTCTGCCGGGGCAGACTTGGGCCGAAGAAATGCCGACGGTGGCAGTGCGCTTCACGTGGCGGCAGCTCGACATCTTGGCGGGCGGTGGGGAGAGTAGGGGCGGCACTTCAAGATCGTTGTGACAGGTTTGGTGTCCAAATGAGCGCGCATGGTATAGGAGGTGGAGAAGAGGCCGTGCACGGCAACCTTGCTGAGGCTTGGACGGGAAATCTTGACCTCATGAAACTGTCGCGCAGCTGCAAGGAATTTGCGAGTAGTATACGGACAAAGCGGCATGGTCTCGTAGCCGTGTGGTGCATCGCCCTTCCTTTTGCAATGCCCCACCCCCGCAAGCCTTCGTCATGGAACTTGCAGTCGCTGCAAGGTTGTTCGCAGCAGGAGCAGATCCCGAGAAGCCGCAGAACGAAGGGTGGACGCCCTTGCACATCGCCAGCCGGAACGGTCACGCACAGGTGCAAACCGGCTCTTGCATTTACAATTGTTCATGGGGAGGTCGATGATCTTGTTCCGACCTACAGCCGCTCACTACCGCTCCCGATAGTGATGACAACGATGATTATTCTGAGCATTATCAGTTGGATTGCAAAGAAAGGTCATGACCATGCCCTTGTCAAAGTCTGATGATGATCATCATCATGCCATGACCATGAGCATGTCGGCAACGGCAGCGACGATGACGACGAATAGTATCGTGATAAGAGTGATGATGGCGACTGTGGTGCCAACGTCAATGAGCCGGTTGTGATACTCCCAGGGCGGCCCTAGGGACAGTGGTAAGACAATTTTTTATTTTCGTTATTACCATTATTACCATTCTTACTAGTATTACGATTATTACATTATCACAATTATTACTGTTATTACTATTCTTACTATTATTACTATTGTTACTATTGTTACTATTATTACTATGATTACTATTATTGCTATTACGATTATTGTTACTATTATTACTGTATTTCTGCTGTTCTTACCAATGGTATTACTAATACTTCTACTATTGCTGCTATGATTACTGTTACTATTGCAGTTACTGCGTTTGTTATCATTACAATTACAAGTCTTATTGCTATTTTCATTGTACTTATTACCCCTATTTTACTCTTACCGATACCTCTATGATTTCTAGTATTATTACTATTGCAATTGCTATTATAATTATCATAATCATTGCTTTTTTGCTATTATTAGTATTGTTACTATTGCTACCAATAGCACGAAGACTGTTATTGTCATTGTTACAATTTCTATTGCCAATACTTGTTTTTGCTACTATTACCGATGCTGTTGTTACTACTATTACTATAGACAATGCCTATTACAATGACAATATATTCTTACAGGTACTACTATTGTTACTATTACTATGTCTATTATTACTATTATTCTTGCTGTTTATTATTCTTACTTCTACTAGCAAAATTACTACTGCTATTACTTTTAGTGTTATTGGTATTGTTTGCTGGAACCATTACTAGTACTACTACTATTACCATTTCTATTACGAATGCTAGTACTATGATTACTATTGCTATTGCTATTACTATTAATATGATTACCATTATTACTGTTACTACTATTTTTCTTATTCTTACTGTTCTCATTACTACATGACTATTGTTAGTAGTGTTACTACTATTATTGTTCTCATTTTTACTACTGTTGCCATTACTGTTTCTATTACTATTACTAGTACTAGTACTATTACTATTGTTATGATTACTATTACTCTTTGTGTTATTAGAGTTGCTATTACTGGTACTATTACGATTCCCACTGTTACTATCAACTCCACGCCTCCGTGTAGCTGAGACACGCAAAGCGTTGCCACAGCAGCTCTGACTGCCCGGCAGATCGTGCAGTGGCTGCTCTTCGACTTGGGAGTTAATGCATACCAGCGGGTGGATGCTGGCTGGAAGCTCTGCTTGAAGAGTTCTGCATCGTAGTTGTCATGTTCAGGGTTTCGACTTCATTTCTTCAGAGGTTGAGGCGCAGATAGACTGGAAGCCCATCTAAACAGTCCGCAAACATGGCATGAAGATGCATGAAGTGTAAAGTAAAAGTGTGTGTGTGTGTGTGCCGTTTCGCTTTCCTCGCTTCCACTGACTTACACTTGTCTTCGCCTGTTCGCCTTTTTGCTCGTGGAGTGTGACAGCCACCACTGCAACACTTTGCCAACCCGAATCCCGTTTGGTTATTGTTGTTGATATGTTGTAGTATATGACAGTGCGATTTTGGAGATTTTCGTATATTCTTTATAGTGCATTATCGAAACCAGTGCACTAGGTCTCATATGCGAGAAGCACTAGTGCAGATCATTTACGGCTGCTTGCAGTACCAATCCCATTAATGAAGTTCAGCTAAGCTTTTCTACGACAGCCGATAATATAGTAAAGCACAGTATACTATGACATATTACGACAATATATTCAACTTTAACATTCTACTATGACACCATGTCATGATAGACTATGACAAGCTATAATCTACTACAGTGTACTAAAACATGCTATAATGTACTATAATATGCGACAACATACAACGACAGGTCATCATAAAGTAGAACATAGCATATCATACCAATATTGAAGCAACGTGTGAGATCGGCCTTCCGTCAGGACTGCTGCCGGCATCGCTTGGCGGCGCTGGCTTGCTTTTTAAATACATTTGGGAGAGTGGGGGGGGGGGTTCCAGACGCTACGGTTGATGATATAAATCCTGCATTACCTATATAATGAGGAACATATACCATAATTCCCATAGTTTCGGGTCCTTAAGGTAATGCAGGATTTATATCATCGACAGTAGTTGGCGCCCCAGACTTGAAGGATCTAGAATCTTGAAGGCTTCTTGTAGTCTCTACTCTTGAAAGGTCCTTGCAATGAAGATCCCCTGCCCTTCTGCTTCGCCCCGGAGGAGGTAAACAGCTGGAATATGCACTAATCAAGGGCAGCTGTTCAGCTGAAGTTTGGGGTCTTCGAGAGGCTGGGCGTTGAAATGGACCATCCTGACTCCATTCCCAGCAAGTCATGAGTCGACATCACATGCAGAGCCAGACAGGTAAGCAATGGTTGCTACCGTTGCCAGACTAACCATGAAGCTACAATTGTCATGGATGTGAGAACTGCATGATTGTAAGGTTTAGCATCAACATGAACGCGGGCATAAAGAGCCTGATGATTGCAGTAGCGGCACCACAAGTATTGCCAGTGTCACGCCGAGAACTAGAGGTCTTTCCAGCATCCAGCAGACCACCGACATGATGCAGCCAACATGTGCAAGTGGCATGAGGTTGTATCATTCATGTGGGGCGTTCAGGGATCATGGTCCCACTTGTTGATTGTGCGAGACAGGTGGGCCCAGCACCCGTCGGTTTCAAGTGTTTTGGACAGTTACAGCGCCTGCCTCAATGTTTCAATGCGTTCATGTCATCACTTCTCGTGCGCATGTGGACTCGTGCACCAAGCGTGCTGCAAAGCTGTGACACAAACAGAGAGTGGCAAGACGAACTGCGGCACCTTTCAAACCACTTGCTGTCCTGTGCATGGACATCATTCTTCATTCAGGACTTCGGCATGCGGATCCCATGCCATGGCAGTCTGCAGCAACAGCAGCAACAGCAGCAACAGCACCACCAGCGCCACCAGCATCAGCAGCAACATCAACAACAACGATGACAGCGATACTGATACTACAACTTCTGGTGTCTAGCAACTAGCAACCATTACTGACGATGACGACAACGATTACTGCCGTTGCTGCTGCTGCTACTACTACCATTCCTAACACTCCTAACACTCTTACTCTTCCTACTACTCCTACTACGCCGACTACTCCCAACTACTACTACTACTACGACGACAACAACAACAACTACTACTACGACAACAACAACTACTACTACTACTACTACGACGACGACGACGAATAACAACATATACCAACAGTAATCATCATCATGATCATAACCATATAACGATAAGTAGCAATAATCATAACAGTAACATTTAATAAGAGTAGCACGAGTTGCCGGGCAAATGCACGACGCTTTGACTGGCGCGACAATTGTCTCAGAGCGGAGTGACTTCTTCATGAAACGACACAAAATGCTAGCCCCAGTTGGCAGATTGCACGTTCACTCACTTCGGCGGGCTTGTATCTGTTGGATGCATTCAAGAAACAATTGCATCCTCACAACATTCAGAATCTTTAGATTGCTTGCAAGTGCGATTGCGCGCAAGTTCAGGGTTTTCAGATGCATGCAGCACTGCAAAATGAGACGGGATTATGGCAAAACATGCCGCCAAAAGTGAGTGCGCACGTTCAGCATGTCCTTACCGGCTACCGAAGTGGTGCTACCCATGACTTTGCTATCTTGCAGCACTTCCCCCAAAGCTTCTGCAAGACCCGACATACAAAATAGTGTCAAGTCACACGAATCGATGCGGACAGCTCGCCGAGAAGAAGCAGCAGCATGCAAAGCAGCCGACAAGATCAAAAGGAATGGTGATGATTTTCGCATATCAGCAACAGCAGACATCGGAGCACTTGGTACACACGGTCAGGATAAGAACTCCAGATCGGAATGGAGATGGTGCCAGGCTCGTAGCAGCAAAGGGACACAGGCAGCGACCATACCCATCCATTGATCATCATCAGCAGATAACAGCAGTATCATGAAAATCATTACCACCATCACTACCGTCATCTCCGTATCACCGCTGCCAGCATGGTTAAGATCGATCGTCATCGTCAACATGGCCATCAGAAGCAACATCAGCATGTTTGCTGATGAAGCAAATTTCGAGAAGCAAGAATATAAGAAGGATGACTGTAGCAGGGGAAGTAACAGATACAAGAAGAAGACGAGGCTTGAAATTACCCTGTAGATACTGCGCATCACCGAGGTGCGACGCAGCACCCACTATTACGGCTGTGGCACAACGTTACTGTCCATGGCCCAAACTCAGGGCGCTTGTGTTGCAGAGCTTCGGTTCGGTTCCTGGTTCTGCCATTATGGGATCTGCGGGTTGCCATGCGGCAGAAAGCAAGTATCTGCCGAAATGAAGTCGTGTCGCAGTGATCTGGTGGATGCAAGCATGGTGATGTAACGGTAGCATTTCAACGAGCATGCACGAAGCAGGCCACACTGCACCAAGAGGCCCCCAGGGTGTTGCTGAAGCACTGACGCTTGGGCAATAACTTGGACACTCAGACCCGCCACAATCTTCTTGAAAGATTCCCGATGTGACAAACAGCCGTCACGCAAAGCTTGCGAGCCCAAGAGCACTCGCATCTCGCCTGATGCCAAGGAGTTGACCATGCCTCTGTTCCAATGGCTGCGGTCACCCAGCTGTCGAGTACAGGATCATGCTCTCTTTTCAGGGGATCTTGCAGATTCAGAGCCCGGTGACCTGCTTTTCTTGTTGTTTGGGTTGGGCATGTGTTGTCGAGCTGCGCATGTGCTGACCACGACCTAGCGATATGTACTGATGCTGTCTGACGACAAAGGGTTTACGTGGCTGGTCAAACAATGTTCTCAAACCCTGGCCTGTCCTGACAGAAGAGGAGGTGCCCACGCATAGTTTGAAAAGCTAGCTGATGCCAACAGTGAAAGTTAGAAGCAGAAATGAGATCAGAAATCATGTATAGCTCGGTGCACCTCAAAATGTCGTGAGCCACAATTTCAATGCAGTACCGATGTTTATGTACTTAGATATCTCATGGTGCTAAACCAAAACCCCAAACCCTAAACTTGCGTTGCCGGCTGTAAAGGCCCTTTCTGGTTGCCTCTCAAGCAAAGGCGGCCTTGTGCCCGACGGGCGAAATGAACCCGCGCACTCCGTGAAATGGCCAGCAGCAATGAGTAACGAATGTAAACAAGAACGTATTAGAATGCTAGACTTCGCTTCATAATACAATATACTGCATATATATATATACATACATATATATTTCTATATATCTATCTATTTATTTATTTACTTACTTACTTATTTATTTATTATTTTGCTTATTTGCTTATATATACATATATATATATATGTATATAGATAGGCGGGGGCACTTGCTGTTACAGTAAGCTCACGATGTCAATGACCCGACACTCGTGGCGTAGAAAGGGCCGAGTACGTGCGGCAGCAATAAAACTGCCCAGACGAAGCACGATGCTTGGAAAAATGTGCTGATTTGCGATGATACCTGTAGGGCTGTGGGGGCAGAAAGAAGGCAAAATGAGTAGGTTATGCAGTAGCGCCGCAGCGCTACCTACCTCTGCGATAGAAGTATCAGACGAGATTTGTAGGTTTCAACACCTTGACGTTGAAAGCCCCCCGAGCTTTCCCCACGATGTAAGGTACAGTTATCCGAAGATTGTGAGAGCTAGATGTTCAAGCTAAGAAAAAGAAGGATGTCCTCGTTCTGTTGGTATCAGTCTTAAGGCCTGTGCAGGCCGAAATGGAGGCGGAAGGGCCCCCAAACTCGACAGGGCTCAAAGGCCTGAAGTCTTGAAGCCTCTCCCATGCCTTCCAAGGCCGCTGCCTTTGCGTTGAGCCATGGCGACAGCTCTGGCTGCTTTCGAGCTAGAAGTTCTAGAAATTCGAGGGGCGAACCTCAGCAGGCCGAGATTCGGCCGGGTATGTGGCTTGCAAGAGCTCACCGCCAGTCCATCGCGGTGACGCTGATCATCCAGTGCAGCTGGCCCGACACGTACTCCTACACTTCTAGACTCTAGGGAACACCAACACCTCAAAGCGGCAGCTCCATCCGATGCCTAGGGCCGACAATGGGCTCGCTAGCCTGTGCTCAAGTCTATCATTCCTCCAAGCTCAGAACATGAACTTTCTGAGGAAAGCTTTAGCCTAAGCCTTCCGAATTGTATGCGATGTTTCCAAGCCATTTTTGGCTCCAGCTTCGAAGAGCACCGTTGCAGCTGCCCTTTCCAGCGAGCACACCGATCGCATTGACGGGGTAGGGGTCGCATTTGTGTGGAGCTTTGCCTTCATGTTTTCCGGAGTCTTCCGGCAAGGTCATCAAAGCGCATTTAGTCCTGAACAACCGATAAGCGTTTCAAGCACTAAATCAACGCTGATCCACCAGAGTGAGTCAGCGATAGTGATGGGAGTCCGCGTTTCAGGTTTGAAAGACCTACGGGCATAGATCTGTTGGACCGTTGAAGGTGTTAAGGGCCAAGTACCCTAAGCCCTAAACCCTAAACCCACCAATGGGGTGGGACATGAGGATTGTAACTGACGGGCTGGGTTCTGCTGGAAGAGGAGGTCGGCCAGAACATAGAGTATTTTGGGGAAACTCCGGCCGCACCATGGCAATTCTAAACGAAGACCACAGACCCTAGTCCATGGAACCCAAGCCAAGACCATCAACTTTCAGAAATCTTGGCATATCACTCTTAATTGCCCATGTCAAGCACGCGCACACACACACACACGCACGCACAAACAGCTCTCAGACCACGATGATGCAGCCGCTGCAGCCTGCGCAGCGTCGGCGTGGCCACCAAACGCGGCTTCTTGGCTTTGGGGCTCCGGCCCGGATCTCAGATGGGCCATCCAAGCGGTGGTAGTAGGCGTCGTCGTAGTAATAGCAGCAGCAGCAGCGGGAGGTGAGGCAGCAGCAGCAGCAGGGCGCCGGTCATGATCATGCTCGAATAATGGCTAGGTTGTGCACATCTCTCAAACCACTCGGGTTGAGGGCTCTTGCTAGCCGCCGGTGATGCTGCTTTTCGGTTGTTTGCAGGTTCGAACGAGAGTTGCGTCTTACTCCATATGGTTTCGGGATGCTTCGGGCTTCGGGCTGGCAAGGCAAGAAGTTTCCGGTGTAGAGCCAGGTTCTTAAGTCCAGCCGGACCGTGTATGTGTGCGTTTCACGTGGCTTGAATACTAAGGTGTGAAATGGGTGCTCAAGTAAGTCAGGCAGTCAGAAAGATTAACATTGCTGAGAGTAGACTTTGGAATTCAGGGCGAGCATGGATGGCGTTTGTCTCCATCTACGAACCCAGCCAGCTGCAGCAAGGGACCGGTTGATCAAAGACTTGCTTGCTGATGTTTAGGGGCTCCAAGACATGACCGGGATTCCTTGCCATCACGCTCAGAGACTTGCGAGGTGCTGATATTGATGCTCACTCGTTCTGGCCTTCTTCATAGCGCCTTTGATTCATGGTGGCCCGGGATCAAGCGTCCGATTCTTAGCAGCAAAGGAATTGAGTGCAATATCCCCCTACCCAGGATGTGCGAACCTAGATGAAGCCCGGAGACGGCGGGTCTCATTGTTCTCGGAGCGCTCAGGCCTCTCCAGCAGGCAGACGACTGCATGGCGACTGTGGAAGACTTCCGCGGATGCTTGAACAAGGACATTGTGGGCAGAGAATCGCTCAAGGAGAAGCTGATAGAACAGTCACGGGGATTGCGAATAGCTTTACTGCTTCTGCCCAAATACCGTCTCGGAGGCCTACCAGGTTAGCGGTTCTTTCGAAGCCAGGCAGTCAGGCCATGTCACTCACCGCACACTGCAGTCGCCGTTGTCACCTTAACCCGTACCATGACCAATACGGCAAGCCCACCATCATGTTTACCTTGAGGATGAAGTGGCAGATTCAGGTGGGAATGCAAAAGGAAGCCTGTAGCGTCTCACGAAGGCACCCTTACAAAGCAGTGTGCCGGTCGATGGTGACTTGTTTCCTTAGGGATGCGGCTATAGAGAGCAAGTGTCCAGGTATGAGCTTGCTCAACAACACCAGAAGATGCGCGCTCAAGGAGGCCAGACGCCCCCTCTGCATTTCGTACCTTGCTTGCCATGGTCCAGCTCTACAGCATGATTGTTGCTTCTTGAGGTCGAGGGGTTCGAGGTTACCTGCTACAGATTCGTGAGGCAGACCTGGGGTTCGGTTATATAGGCAGTGCGCAGGCGTTCTGAAGAGATTCAGCGCCCAATTCATGAAGGACCTTTGGTTTAAGATGGCAAAGCAGGCTGAGCGGCTTCTCTCAAGGATCTGCCGCTTTGACTCCTCTGGGCAGAAATAGCAGCGCATACTCGGACATTGCCAGACAGCATTCTCGGACGGTCGCCTGTTGAATGCAGCATGTAAGCCTTCAAGGCCCGCGAGCAGCGTGCTGTGTTTCCTCGCCGACTGCTCAGGTTCTGACAGGTAACCCGGGAACGGGCAAGACGATGGTAGCTCGGAAGCTGGGTGACATCTTCAAGCAGCTGCTGGGACAGAGTTCATGCCGAAGATGCACTCGCCGATGTTCGTTGAGTTCAGTGCAACTTAAGGTTTGGTTTGCTCACCACAGGCCGGGCGTAAAGTGTACTGGCAAAGAAAGGGCTCCGTTCCATGGGAGCCTAGAGGCACCGTCGCGGTACCGTGTTGTTCGGTGACAGAGAGGATCCCTTGCGGACAGCAGCATCTAGTTCATTTCCATGAGTCAGCTGTCATCAAATTTTGCTGCGAGTTCGGGAGAACCCCAGCTTGAAAGCGAGATCATGCAAGAGTAGCTTACACTGGACCGTGTCAGGTGCAGTCAAGGAGTTTCAGCGTGGGGAGTTGGTCTCGGACGATAAAGGGAGGACTACGCATACCATTATCAAGGAAAGGTCTCTTGGCGCAGTTGGTCCTGAGATTGTAGGGTGTTGTAATCGGGGCACCTCGAGCACCTGCATCTCTTTTCCTCGAACTCGTCTAAAAAGCCGGAAAACCCGTGTGGCGCCAAGCCTGCGATCACAGCGGGAACATCATGTCGTCATGCAACCGAGACTGGCGAGAAGCCGGTCATAACATGGTGATGCACGCAGAACCTAGGCGCTAGGCGAACTCATGTCTTTGGCAACCCGTCCCATTCCGGGCCGGGCTGCATCAAGCAGCCCACAGCAGCGCACCGAAGGATAGCCGAAGCGGAGGGAGGCATTTGCTTCATCGATGAGGCGGAGAGGCTCGTAAACAACCCCAACCCTATCGGGAGAGACGCGTTGGAGGAAATCATGGCCCTGCTGGGTGAGGCAAAAAATGTCATGGTGATTTTTGCAGGTTACCGCAAGGATATCGTGAAGCTGTATGGTATCAACGAAGGCCTGGAGAGGAGGATCCATATGGAAATTCATCTAGACGACTACAAGCCCGAGGAGTTGGCGAGAATCTTCACTGACAAGTTTGAAGGCAAATTTCAAGGAGGAAATGATAATGTTAAGTACAAAATTAATCGCACCGCAGCAGAAGAGACACTCCTGACGAAGTTCAATACAGAGTTGATGCGGCAACTCATTCCGCGCTACAATGCCGGCTTGGTTGATCATCTCTTCAATCATGTGGCCACAGAGATTGCAAGAAAGGAACCTGCAGTCAAAGACACAAAGGACAGCAAGTGGCTGGAGACGGAGGATCTGGAGAAAGCCTGTGAAAAGTTGGAGCAGCGACTCAAGGAGCGGCAGGATTGGCTCAGTCGCTAGCCCTGGCCCTGGAGGATCGCGTTCTCCGGGCACCATAAGCTGTGACACTTCTCTCTGAGACAAAGCACTCAGTGGAAATGTGCATACTTGAAGCTCGCAATGGCCTTGAGGATCATGTACATTGGACATGTTTGTTCAACTCAATGGTCACTTTGACAGCACAGGCTAGAGGCAGATAAGAAAGAGGCTTGAAGACTTACCAACACTTTCCCTTAGGCAGAATCCATTGCACTTATCAAGGCCACTAAATTATGCGTTTTGGTACATTCCCCTTCTGGTCGAGTTCATTCTCGGCTTCGGCAACTGTCCTAGCTGCCCTAGCTGTACATGTAGTTTTGGTTGCTGAAAAAATACGAAGACACTGTTTCTTGTGGCCATGGCATCTAGCTTCTTATCTCTGCTTGCTCCACGGCTACACTCCCCGCTGCGCCGTGGACCGTTCCAAAGCTGCGGGTGATATTGTTCCGCGGTACTTCGAGGGCTTGATTTGTGTGAAACTTGGCGTTTCGTATGTTCGTGCTCTGGACATGCGTAGGCAGGATACTTATTTCAGCCCTTTGAGTGCTGCAACCACGAATTTGCAATGCCCCGCGACTCGGCTTTTTCCGAGCCGCTATCCAGGCTTGTGCCTTCGACGATGCTGTGGAAATAACTCCCCATGGGGTTAATTCAACTGCATCAGACAGAATGAAAGTTCATGACATTGTTGTTTCCCCTCAGCAATACTGCTGCCCGGACCAACGCCGTCTACCTGATCATCACCTTGCAGGTCGTGTATATACGAGGAGCGATAAAGCAATAAAAGGCCGATTAGGCATTTGGAGCTTGATCCACCCCACCGTCCCCGATGCTCCCTCGACGTTAGGCGTTGTCTGGTCCGGGTAGAAGTCGTCTTCCAATGATGCAACAGCTTTCGCCGTCCGCCCGGACGAGATCATGAGACATAGCCCGACAGCTTGCTTTCGGACTGTCTCCAATGTCTCCCGCCCCGGAGTGAATCTGCGGCAATGACTCAACACTTTAGGCGGTATATTCATGCGAAGAGTGTGCAAAAAGCCGGCAGTTGACTTGAGGGATGCACAACGAATTACTGTAGAAAAAGTAGTTGGACTAGCTATGTTCTCTCACATCAGCGCCTTTAACAAAGATTATTACAACATGCCTTGAAGCAACGAGATCAAGAGATGGTGGTCTTGTTCGTTTTAATAATACTTTTCGAATTGTCATAAACGATACGTTTATTTAATTGTTAAGATAAACATTGGATTTTTTGCATGAAGCGTTTATTGAAATTTTTTTATTGTAATAAAACGCAAATTTGGATATTGTAAAAATTACATACGAGGATGAGAGAAAAATTAAATTTCGAATATATTTTTTTTAATATAAATATTGGCTGTATATAGAAACTAGAAGGAAGATAAGTTCTATTAATGAATATAAGATGTCTTAGAATTTTTTAAAGATGATATAATGATATGAATTATTAAGAGGGAGACGAGGGGAATGGAGGGAAATCTCGATAAATTTATTCTCTATTAATGGATTTGGAGATGAAGATTATTAGAGAAGAAATTACGAGGTGGAGAAATAAGAATTTTTTGATTTTATTACTAAGAATATTGAATAGTAAACTGATGGACTTATTTATGATTAAATTTTAATTTGATGACGAAAGGATGAAATTATTCGATTTGCAAAATTATAATGAATTTAAATAAAAGTCGTATTTATTTCGTTCGTTTGTCTTTAATTAAATGTAAAAGAATAAATGATTTAATTTATATTATTCTTAGATTATAATAGTTGGAATTGGAGCTAATTGCCGGGAATCTTGGAAATTTTTAATTTCTTTGTCTAACCATTAGGAGGAATTATTTCTTTTATAAAGGTGAAGGAATTACGAGAATAATTCTTGATGAACCGAGCACGAAAAGATATAGAAATGAAATGGTGGTATAAATGAAAAAATTTCTGTTATTAAGTGGGTGAGAATTCTTAATTGGATCGAAATTGTTTATTTTTTGAAAATTGTATTTGGAATAAGATTATTATATATAAGATGATAATTATTTCGGAAATTATTTCTGAAACAATTATTTCGGAGTCTGTGGTTCTAAATTATATTGTAGATATTTAATATATCTTTTCTATTATACATTCTTTCTTATTTATATATTTGCCTTACTATGATTTTCTAAATTATTCTGTTAGACTCGTTTTATTAACCTTCTCCTACTAGACCCGTATTTTTCTAAGGCCGTCCTATTAAATCTCTCCTACTAGACCCGTATCTCTTCTATATTTATCTATCTGGGTCCGCTCCATATCTTCTATATTTATCTATCTGGGCTCCATATCTTCTATATTTATCTGTCTGGGTCCCGTATCTTCTAGATTTATATTTCTATACGCATCTTATTGGACCTCCCTTGTCAGATCCATATCTTATATATTTATCTTTCTAAGTCCGTTTTATCAAAATATTCAAGTTTATATTCTGGTTTTTATCTTCTCAATCTTGTTTCTTATTCTGTAATTTTCAGATTTATTTTTTTTAATTTAGCTCTATCTTCTAGATTTATTTCATTAAGTCCGGCCAATCAAATACCCTTCTAATAGACCTATCTTTAGGCCGGCCCTATAGCTAAATCTATTTTATTGCCCAGGCCTACCTTCTTTCTTATAGATATAAAAAAAATTCCAGATCCGATACAAAAAAGATTTATCAAAATTATCTTATTAATCAAATCTATCTTCTAAATTTTGTTGTCTCAATATATCCTTCTAAATCTTACCTGTCAAATCTATTTTCTACGACTTCTAGTTTTATTAACGAAAGTTATTTATTTTGTTTTTTCTTGCATCCTCGTCCCTATAGATTTAGAATATCCATAATTCGGATAATGGGCACAAAATATATTCATATATATATATAGCGCCCATACGTATGCACACCACACACACGTAACACACACACACACACCACAGCTCACACTTACAACACGCACAAGACGTACACACACCACAGAACACACACACACAACACACACAACACACACAACACATGCAACACACACACACATATACACAACACACACACACACGCACGCGCAAACACACACACACACACGCACACACACCCGCACAAAAATGTCATGTGGGGTTTGGTTTTCCGGTCCTTTAAGTGATATAGTATATTACTAGTCGTAACCGTAAACATCCTCGTAACCGTAGTCTTCGTAGTATGCACCGGCGGAAGGTTTGGCCAAACGGTTTTTTTTTAAAGGTTTGGCCGAACCTTCGGTTGAGTTTGAGTTGTAGCAAGCTATTGGAGAAGGACTATTCGTAGGGTCTCCTTTTGCAGCAAGCTATTGGGCAAGGACCATTCGCAGGGTCCTCTTTTGCAGCAAGCTATTGGGGAAGGACTATCCGTAGGGTCTTCTTTTGTAGCAAGCTCTTGGGGAAGGACTATCCGCAGGGTCTTTTTTTGCAGCAAGCTATCGGGGAAGGACCATCCGTAGGGTCTTCTTTTGCAGCAAGCTCTTGGGGAAAGTCCATTCGTAGGGCTTTTTTTCCCAGCAAGCTATTGGGCAAATCAAATTTGTAATCTCCTTTTGTGGGGTCTTTTTCTGCAGCAAGCTATTGGGTATGTC